ACTAAATAAAAGAATATAATCACAAAAAAAGCCTTTTTTTTCTCCCCTTTTGTTTGAGTTTTCTATCTCCAAATGAAAATAAATCTGTAATTTGGTAAAAACAGCCTTGCAGGAATGATATTTTCAGGTTACATGGTTTACTAAATGTAACAGTGTTGAAGCCGTTAGTTAAATATAAATATCATGTTTACTGTGACTCAGATTGAATATTTAAGTGTTTTCTCTTGATCCGTTGATTTACATGGTGTGTGTAAAGGCAACCGCAGCAACCAAAGATACAATTCTGTGTTCTGCCAAGTTCAGAATGACTCCGAGCAGAACTTAATAACCTTTGAGGACACTGTGCTTAGCAGTAAATGTGAGCAGAATGGACGTGTGCTCCATTTAACCCAGAACCAGCCGTCATCATGCCTGCACCACCACCGTTATTTCATCACTTCCTGTTCCTGCATCTGCACTCTTCACAACTTTTAGGCCTCCATGCATTACTGAAAGTCACTGAATATCTTCTTTTTCCCACTCCAGTGCTCGTTTTCACAGGTTTTCGGTGTTTTGACATTTGACCTCTGAAGTTCCAGGCTTTTTTTGGCTAGCAGCGGACTCCCACTATCTCCCGCTTTTTTTGTTAATCCGTCAGGTGTCTAACTGCTCCGTTGCCTCCTTTTGAAACTATGCCACATGTAACTATGTAAGATAGTGTGGTCTAGGGTCTTCAAAGTGAGCAAAACAAACGGCATAGATCACCAGGTTCCAGCGTTTTCTTAAGAAATTTATTTTATTTTCCTCCTCTGACATCCATCTGGTCTCTTTTCCTCCCTCCACAAACACTGTTTTTTCCTTTTAAAGCCAATTGGCAACACAGCTGCACATAATTGGGCCAAGCCACAATCAAACAGGTAACAACGGAACACAGACAAAGTCTAAACAAAAACAAGAATAATATTAATCTCATTTACAAACTCAACCTAAAGAAATAATGTACAAAATAAACCCTGCCAAACAAGATAACTCAAAAGTTACTTTAAGGAAAAAAAACAAACAAAGCAATACTAGAAAACCCTCTAATTGGTAGATCCCAGCAAGGTAATCAGTGACATCATTCAGCCATTCAACAGGAGACACTCCCACACTCCTGACCTGCTGCAAAGCTACAAGAGAGAATGGTAAATAAAAAGAAACAAAAATACCAAGAATCTACAAGTTCAACCAATAATTCAAAAGTGGTAGCTTTTAACTAAACATATAAATAGATGGAAACTGCAACCCAATATCAACACAAACAAACCCGGGATAGTAAATGAAGCAAGGTTGCAGTAATGTTTAAATCTAAGCATTATAACCCATTACAAAAATAAATGTATCAAAATAATAAGGGACAAATGGCGAACATGCACTGAACCACTTTGTCACAAACTAATGTAGAAGTGTAGTTTAGGAGGTCAGCTCATCTCCCCTCTGCTGAAAAACGCCCCGCTGGGAAGGTCCCGGAGACACAAAGGGGGGCTAACCTCGTTAGCTGTTCTCTGCTAACCCTAAACAGCCAGATCCCGGCTGTGTTTAAATCAAGGTTACTAATCAGTCCCAGATATATAAGACTAGTTATAGCTCTCTGAAATATTTGACTCATTTTCCATCATCCAAAGTGGGAGAAAATGAGAAAAACCTCCTCGTGTTTGTTGTTATGTGTTGTCTTCCTGACTCTGCTACATCTGATACATTTCCAGACAACATGGCATCAATTTTCATTGTTGTGCTGATAACGCTCAGTTATGTGAAACCAATTTAAACTAATCGGTTTGTCAAACTTCAAGGATGTCTCAAAGACCCCTGAGCATCTCAGGGATGAACTCTTTAGTTACATAGTTACTTTAGAAGGGATTTCTTTGGCCTCACCTCCTAAAGGGAGGATCTTTGGATTTATTTCTGACAAGTATCAAGCTTTTAACTCCCATATCAATCTTCCTGCTTTGTAACATCCCCAAAATGAAGAACATGCTGTCTCAGCATGATGCAAAAAAACTGTTAAAAGCCTCTGATCAAAAATCCTGCAGCCAGAGTTCTGATGATAACCAGCAGCATATTACTGCAGTCAGCAGTTTTTTTTATCAGCTCCCTGTTAAATTTGGAATATGATTTGATGTTCTGCCCCTCACATAAAAAGTTCTGAATCCTAAAGAGCTCACAGTTGTATATTTTCCCTGCAGAACTCTTTCGGAAGCAGAGGCCTCAGCTAAGACGTCATTCTCTGTGGAACCAGCTGCCAGTCTGGGTTCAGATGCCCTCTCTACCTTTAGGATTAGACATCACTGTGATTTGGAGCCCCAATAAAACGGAATTGAATCAGAATTATTTTCATTTCTAGGTAAAACATGGGAAGTAAAAAGGACTGTCTAATTTATCGCCCACAGGACACAAATAGCTAAGAAGTGACTTTTATTCCAGCTCCACAGCTCTGTTTCAATGTTAGATCTGCTTATGTCAACATAAAAGCTGGTCATAATATGTAGATCATAAATCATTTTCATATCATCATATAATGGACAAAAAGCTGATGAAGCACCATCTCATGAGAACTGACGCTCGGTTTTATGGATTATTCTGTTCCATTTTCTGAGTAGTACTTCAAAGAGAATAGAGTAAAAAAGGTCGACTACTTTCATACCTGCAAAAATACCTCTTTTAATTTTGTTTGTCTTCTTTTCTGACGTTGAAAAACAGATGTAAAAGGGCCTAATGCCCTCAATCAAAGCTTTTGGTTGGTTGGAGATATGCCTCTGGAAAACCAGGCATTGTCAGGATCCAGGCATTGGGTTCTCAGACATTTGCAGGCTTCGCTGCCACCTGCTGGTCAAGATCCTTCTCCTTCTTTTTTCTCTCCTCAAACTGCGCGCAAATGCTTTATTTTGAAGGTCGGGACCGGAAACCGAACCCTTCATTCCGTCTTCCGGCTTGACTCTCAAACGTAAGCGTGAGCCAGCCGTACAGGGAATCGCCAGTACGCGGCTTTCCACTCTCGGTGTGGCGATGAGAGGAAGCCTGACGCGTTAACCTGGTCGTCGCCGGTGAACGGGCAGCTGCACGGCAGCATCTCTCCCAGCGGAACCGTCGGTCGGGACCAGTGGCTGCCGCCGCCGCCAGACTGGTTCGCTAGCTAGCTAACGTCAACCTGCTAACTTCGGCGGTGTACGAGACGAAGAGTGGGGCCTCTGGCTGGTGAGACTCGGCTGACGGAGACCGTCTAACACCCCCGGTTTATTTACCGGAGCAACACCCCGCCGCCATGGGTGAGTAGACGGCCGGCGAAACGAGGCGGCCGCCCGAAATTGTCGTCCGGTTTGAATTAAAGGTGGAAACGGTTCTCAGAAGACACCTCTCGAGACGCAGCGCGCGACGGTTGACGTTGCGCCACATATTAGTCGAACTTCATTCAGTTTAGTTTCCTCGTTCAATTTCCGTTTGGATTTTTTTTTTGTTTTTTTTTGTCGTAAAAAGCTGACTGTAACCAAATTCGCGGCTTCAGGCGCGTGCGCGCGCGTGGCCCACAGTCGGGTGGGGTACCGTCTCAGCCTCTCCATCCCCGGTCCTCCCTTTGCCTTTTTTTTCCCTTTTTTTTTTTTTTACTCTCCATGCCGGAGCCGTGCTGGAGGGTCCCGGCTGTGACACCGACCCCCGCCCGCCAGCAGCCCGCCCCCCTCCGGCTCCATGGCTGTGGGCCGCTGATGGAGATGGAGACGGAGGTGGAGGTGGCACTCCTCCATCCCCACTGCTGTTATGCAATAGGATCAGCAGCAGCCCACTTCTGGTGCAGTTTCTGCTGCACTACTCTGTGATGCCACTGCTTTTGCTTCCTTGAGCACAGGCTTTTGACCACGGTTACGTCTTCACACACACATGTGTTCAAACCGCTTGCAGAAAAGGCTTTCCATGCATTACATGTCCTCCTTATGTCACAGTAGACGGAATCCAGAGGATGTGCACAGCGCTACAGTCTACGGGCTGCTCCTCGGATCTGATTCGATGGATGCCGTGATGTGGCTGTGCACCAGCCATCTGCCTGCAGCCCCGTCTGTAAACCCCCCCGCTCTATTATCAGTGTATTCAGTCATTCAGTTGTTGCAGAGCGTCCAAAAATCCATTTAAACGCGAAGGCAGCGTTGGTCACCTGGAGGCTGGTTGCTGACGTAGTCCTCAGATTGGCGTGAGGAGGTGTTAAAAGGGCTCCTCTTAAACCGCTCTGCAAAGGTTTTGGTGATGGCCATGTTGAACTATCTAATAGAACGAGAAAATGCTGAAGTCGTCTTAAACCCTGTTTAAATACATTAAAGCAAATGTTATGGAAAGCACATGTGCAATTTTTGTGCTAATGGTGGGTTTTTCTACTATCGATGAGCCTTTTTTGGTCAGCTCTTCCAGGCTTTGACTTCTTCCATTCTTTATATCTCAAACTTCCATCGTTTTGTTGGCCTTACCAGTGTTTTGGGACTGGTTATCCGGCCCTTTCATGTGAACACACTCTTCTTTGTGGCTCGTAACTGAAGTTGCAAAGCTGGGTCATGGAATGGTTTACGGTGAAGAGAGACGCCCTCCTTTCTTTCTTGGTTCCATAGGTGGTACTAATTAATCTGTGTAGAAGCCCCCCAAAGCCCCAGTTGATGGGTACATGATAATAACTCCTCCCAAAAGAACAGGGGCCCTTTATCCACGAGAAGTTTGGAGTAGGGCCAAGATGTGAAGCTGAGATTGGCCTTCTGACCTTACTGGAACTCCCTCTGCCCATTCGTTCTGTAGCTGTGTCCACCACCAGAGCTAGTTGGTTAAGCTGATCAAGCCCTTCCTCTTTGTCTGTGCCATAAAAAGGCCTCAGATTCCTGCTGCAGGAATGGTTGTTTTTCAGACATTGTCCGGCCCTCTTTTACGTCGGTTCTCTTTTAGATGAAAACAGGAACGACCATTACTGGCAGAGAATACCAAAATATCCACACAGTGTCGGTGCATAGTGAGCTACCGTTGAGGGTCAGTTTATAGAAGAGGTCACAGATATTTCTTTTATTCCAGATTTATGGGTGGTAAATTTATTCAAGTGTCGGATCTGCAAATCAAGAAGCATTAATCCCAAAATGAGATTTGTTTCATGGGAAGTTTTGGAGGCATCGTTTGGATAAAATGCACTTGTCAAGTGAAAATAATGTTATAGGTTTTCAATCCTGTTTGACATGTTTGTTTAAAGCACTTTTAATCTGAGCATCACTAATTTTTCTGCTATCATTGAAGCCCCGCCCCTTCATGATGTGATTGGCTGATCTTGTGCCTTGCTTCTGATTATGTTTTCATGGTAAGGATTTGCCAAACACTCCAGTTTCAGAGCCCCTTTAGGCCTGTCTTCATGGCATTTAATCCCACAAAATAAACCAGAACAGGCCACAGCAGCCTGAGGCCAGTCCAGATCTGTCCAGATCAAGAAAATAACAGGAAGTGACTTCTCACCTGGATGTCTGTTTGCGCTGGTTTGGAGGGACTACTCCAGGTCTAAGGAGCCGGTGGGAAACAGGCTGAGCACTGACACGTCTGATGTGGTGGACTGTTTTCAGACAACCTGAGTGACGCTCTGCAGAAGCTGAAGCTGGCCTCCCCGGGCAGCGCGGCTGACTGCGTGGAGGGCAGTCTGGACTGCCTGGTCAAGGCTCTCGCCAGCAACAGTGAGTACCCACTCTAGACGTCCACTTGGTGGGCAGTAAGACACCCGTTTGTGTATTCAAAACTGCACACATTTATGTGCTCATTTACAGAGAAACTATCAGTTCACCCTGAAACCTTTTTTATTTTTTAACCCCAAGTCTTCCCTGGACCGTGTCATTTGCTAGTATCACCATCTTAATATTAAAGCTGGGATGTAACTGGACATCCCTATATGTGATTTTTTTTTCGTGTTTTGTCACTGGATCCATGCAGAATCCTTCACGTTTGCGTTTTTACACACTGCAAACGTCTGTCTGCTGAATTAAAAACCCGACTTCATTCAGTAGAATGAATGAACTAGCTCTCTGCTGGTTCCTCTCAGGAAGAGGCGTGCAGGCGTACACACACAGGACTTTAGAGGTTCTTATTCATGAGTCAGAGATTTTCATTTGGGACCGACACACCCCCTCCGACTCTTTCTGTTAACATTTTCAGTGGCTCTGGATCTGCTGGAGCTGACTTATTCACTCAGTCCAGCGCTGACAGAACTCCAGGTATCGTTCTGATCAGACCACTGAATGACTGAATGTAATTATGGTGGCAGAGAGGTGGAAACAGCCCATCTGCACAGTGTTATGTTCCAAAGGGAGATTCCTTCAGCTGCTTTAAGGTCCAATATTGTTCAAACCTTAAAACTGGAATTGACATGGAACATTTTCATTTGAACACGATTATTTCTTTTACAGACACTGAGGCCAGCATGAAGATCCAGGAGATGGGCATCCTCCCCCTGTTCCCCGGCCTGCTGAACCCCCAGTCTTCCTGCACCCCCAAAGTAGCCAACATCATAGCCGAGGTGGCCAAAAACGGTGAGCTCCACCTTCTAAACTCTGGCCGAATTTTCTTCTCATAGTTTTAGACTTCAAGTTTAATTTAGAATATCATTTAAATTTAAAACAAGCTTTATTGCCCAAGCAGCAGTAAATAACTTTGGGTTTGTATTTGATTTTAAATGATGTGATTTGATTATTCTTGTGTCCACATTTCTTAGAAAAATGAAAAGAATAGTGCAGTTAAAAGTACCTTATTTGTCCAAATCTTTGTACCTTTCAAATATGATCGAAACTTCTGTCATTTCTAAATAATTTTATATCATTTATAAAATTCCTTTCATACTAAATTAATTAAATTCACACGGGATTTTATAAATGAAAAAAATACGTGAAAAAATTTACAAGATTTAATTTGCGATTAAAGGTTTTAATCAGGCCAGCACTACTAAAAACTGTTGTTTTCATCGGTTCATTCAAAGAATCAAGCAGTGGCTGATCTGGACGAGGTCTTTTTTTTGGAAAAACCCTGAAAAACATTCATTTTTCAGAGACGGTCGCAGACTGTCGGTGTTAAACTGTTTTATTACTGCAGCGCTACTGCTCTAGGTTCACATAATTCCTCAGTTTGAGCACGAGAAAAGCTTTTAAGGCATAAAAAGCAGGCGTGAAGAGAAGTTGAGGGAAGAAAAGGTTCTGATAATGAATGGGTTGCTGGCCCGACGGCAGCTAATGATCCCTCACCAGCAGTGAGCCTAGCAACAGCCGCTGGCGTTTATCTGCCACCGCTTCCGGACGTCTGCAATCAACCGCCACCGCCACGCCACACACACGCAGCCCTCTGCCTTTGAAACATTTTCCTTGGAGTGCGGATTGATTATTTTAAACTCTATGAATCAGCATTAAATGCAATCAGTGGCTGTCAGTGTGTGACATTTTTACTGCTGTTCCACAGTCCCAATCATCATGGATCAAATCGTGTTTTCTATCCAGTTCAGTTAAATGAAAAATGCTCCAATTCAGTCTAGTTTTAATTCAAACAATCACTTTTCTTTTTAAGGCATTAAGAAAATGTTGCTAAAAAGTGAAAGAAAATGGCTGCATAAGGCTGCAGGAAGCTGGTGTTTTAATGGAGGACAATTGCATAAAAAAAGTCCAACTGCTACTCCGAGCATCTGGATTTTGAGGACTAGGCTTAAATTTAAAAAGCACATTTTCATATTTCATGAAGCAATATTTTACTTGTAGTAGAATATAGAAAATGTGGAGGCTGGGACATTCTCCTTGTTTAATAAAAACAACTTTTGATGAAAAAGTGGACAGACTTGAAGCAGGGCAGGGGTTCAGATGAGAGAATATTCCATCACTTCAGTTGAGTATAACAAAGGGTTAAAAAGAACAAACGACAAATGCTGGTTAAAGCTTATTCATGGAAAGAAAAAGCATTGTCACACTGCTTTTTTCCCCATTTGAAGTATGACAGAATGCACAAATCCTCTTATATTCTCCTTTATTTTTAATTATTGAATATCTGTAGATCTGGAGTGCAGACTAAACATTCCAACCAAGGATGTCTCTTCAGTTGCTCTTAACTGGCTTTACAAAGCTGGCCTCAACCCACCCACTGACCGGTTTCCCACCGTCTCTCCTTCCTTGTAGAATTCATGCGGAGTTCCTGTGTGGATGCCGGCCTCATCCCTCCTCTAATTCAGCTGTTACACTCCACCGACCAGGAGGTTTTACTGCAGACTGGTCGAGCTCTAGGCAACATCTGCTACGACAGCCGTAAGTAGGCGTTTGCTCTGCTGAGTCACATGCTCTGTCATTGCAGCCACTGGGCCTAAAAGATGGCGGATAAAAATGATCTAGTTGTTGGAACAGGTCAGTTAACTCTGGTTCACTTTGTGGACATCATAGACTGCTTTGTGTGTGAAAACAGATTTTCATATTGTTCATACTGTATGAGACCAACCAGTCTGATAGCAGCTGCATTTATCTGGGCTGGACTCTGGCTCTCTGGAGAGGTGCTGGATGGGCTTAGCTGTCTTCCTGGTAAGAAGAAGGTTGCTTCACTGCGTCTCTGGAGGGATGATTGCCTTATTTCAATGCCCATGTTTAAGATGTGTGATTGGATGGTCTTGGGTTGCCCGATATCCACACCATATTAGAGCACGAGGTTGTTCAGAGATGGACCTGGTACCAGGCCACATTGGACCAGAGGCTGATGGTCAACTCTGGAGTCTATAATGTGCATCTCAAGGAGAATTCTTTTCACAAAATGTTGACAATTAGGGCCATGGAATCTGAATGGAGGCCTGCAGCGTATTGATGCCTTTCAGGGTGGTAACTGGAGAAAATAAAGGAAACCGTATAGCTAAGGAAAGAGACTTTTTTTAGGTTATCTGCTGACCGATTGGTTCAGAGGGTTGCCGTGTTGGCGGTTGCTGAAGCTAACATCTGGGAGTGGGAGGTTTCCTGGTGAGGCCCCTGGCAAGGACTTTCAGGTGCTCTCTATTGTGCTCCGGCAATCCAAAAAAGCAGGCTTTTTTAGGAAAGCAGGCTCCATGCCAGGTCCTGCTTGACTGGGACAGACCGCTGCTGAGCCTGACGTCTTTGGGCGGTAGAAGATGAACTTTATCGCTTTGCCTAGTGCCAGGGCTGTGTTTGCATGTCAGGAAGAGAGAAAAAGGGGAAGCAGAAATGGCGAGCGAATATAAAAGAGGCCTCTTCTGAACCGATGCATGCTTTATGAGCACACATTACTGGAAACACCATTAATAAGTAAAAGATTTCCTGATAGGCCTTTTTTTTTTAGCTCAATAGGTAAATGAACCTCCTCATCCCAGATAGAGCACACTCCTCTGAAGTGTCTAAGAACTTGGAGAACTCCTCCATAACTTTGACGGTGGTCACAAAGGTAGCTGAACAGCTTCCTGGTGGTAGAGTCTCAGAGGTGGACGAGACTCGGCCTGGAGGGCTGAAGGCTCTGACATGGGGAAGCTTTCCTGGCTGACCTGCCTCATCAGAGCTTACAGAGCTCCGGGGGGACACCTGTGAAGTGGCAGGACGAGGGCGGGGTAGGCTTCCTGTCTTTATGAAAGGTGATCACACCCCTTAGCCTCCACAGTAAAGTCTACACCCGGGTGTTTGTGAGGCGGTCTTGACCCTTCACACTCTTAGAGAGAAGAGCAATCGGTTTGTGATCCTCTGGGTTTGCTTCCTCTCTGTTCTTCTGTCACTGGGGACTGGGATGGCTGGGTTTCTCCTCTGGGCCTGGTAACCATGGCGACCTGGTTTTGGATAAGCAGAAGATGATGGGTGGATGGATGACTGCATATTAAAGACACAGGGTTTTGAACCGGGAGCTGGATGATCCCTCTACGGTTTGGTCCAGAGGACAGTTCCCTGCATTGCTTTGTCCATTTTAGTTGGACTTTGGCTCAGAGAGGACTGCAGCATTTCTGGATCACATGAACTGGTTTACATGCATACATGACCTGCAGGTGTTCCTCCCTGCAGGGATTTTCATGACAAAATTTTAATTGCCTGAAGATCTGAAAGCCCTGGTTGTCAATGATTTTTCAGCCTTAAAGCTCACCCAAAGGCTTTCCTCATAATTATCTGAAGCCATTGATCATATTTTGTACTGTGAGCGATTAAATAATCTATCAGATATTTATGTAATAATATTCACATATTTTACATCATAGAACATTATTGGAGAATTCTTTTTGTTGTAAATGCAGGTTTTTTTTGGTGGATAATGGAACCTTTTCCATTTGTGAGGTAGTTTACTCTTCCCAGTTTTCTTATTTTTATACTGCTTCCTTTTCCAGTCCCAATCTTTTGGACACCTGCTCTTCCATTGAGATCAATGAGCTGATCTGTTTTTTTTTTTTAACTCTTTTATTCATTTAAACTCATTTTAATTTATTATATTCTTCTTTTTATATAGGGTTGATATTTATTTTGGAACTGGCGGCGTAGATTAAGTATTACATGGTAATTAATACATTAGTATAGCTAATGGCTTTGACCTTATTTTGTTAAGTGTTTTTAGTTGGGTTACACATATAAACATAATAAGAGTGGACACTAGTATATCAACATGTGCCAAAATGTGGCAACTTCAACTAATTATTCATGACTTGCAAACCAAGACAGCTTTATATCTGAGAGAAAACTGATTTTATTAAAAAACACTTCATGTCTGCCCTGAGAAGTTTGATTTCGGATTGAATTATTTGATGAATGACATCAGGGATGAGTTGCAGAGTTTACTGGTTTGAGAGGCTTTGATCACAGCTGCCAATCTGGCACATAGTTTCCCATCGTTTTTGAAAAGCTGGCTATCTATGGAATCCGGAGGGGTGTGGCATTGGTTAGGGTGGAGGAGGGGGCCTGGTTTAATGGTAAACACATGGGGAGAGAGAAGATACAGCTGCTCACTACCTTAAAACACACACGTGATGTAAGGCATCCTCTCAGTTGCTTTAGGAAGGCTTGTAAAAGAGGTTATTTTAAGCTCTAAACGTGGAGTTCTGTTCCTTCAGTTTACTGAATGCACACCCACTAACAGAAAAGGGTAAGATAAATGGATATGTGCTCTGTCATATTATACAGCTCCACTCATAAGGTGCCCAGATGATGTTACATCCAGTTATTTACATGGAGAATGTTCAGATTTTTAACTGTCCTTGTTTAAGAGAGCCCAAGACGCAGTAAGTGTGACTATGGACGGCGTTTTGTCAGCAGGCTGAAGAAAGCCGACCACCTTTTGTTACCACTGCGTAGCTGCATTTGTCACATGGTCTGCTGACCTCCATCCCAGCTTCTTCACACTCCGCTTCAAACAGTTCCGGTGTGCACTGCGGGTCACTGTCTGTTTCCAGGCTGGACGCCCCCCTCCAGAGACGGTGGAGTCTGCCAACCACAAAACTCCTCAGAGAGAGAGCCTTTACCTCAGAGAAAAGGCTTCCTTCATTTCAAAAGCTAACAAGTTGTAGCCACTGCTCAGGTTTCCTCTGGATGGTCCCTCAGTCTGTGGTGAAGTTTTATATAATTTCTTTCAATTTAATCCCAGCGTCACCACCGGCTTCTCATGAGGAGACCTGGAACGGGAAGCGTTATTCACAGCCCACTTGAGTGTGTGTCTGCGGGCTAAATGAGCAAAATTAGTGGGTGTGCTGGAACCAGAGAGGGCTGACTCACCAGGCTTCCTTTGTCAGCCATCCTGCCAGACGCAGCCCTCCTACAGAGACCGTCATAATCAGGGTGCATTTACTGTTCCTCTGGGGAGGAAAATGACCGGCTGGGGCTTGTGACCCTTGTCCTGAACAAGAGAACAAGAGAAGCAGCGTCCTTCACAGGACAGATCTCGAAATGGATGCCGCTTTCAAAGACATGTTTACGGGTTCCTGTCCCTCTGATTTGTCGAACTGCAGAGCCTTTTTTACCCTCCTCTTTATTTTCTTTGGTTAGATTTCTGGCTACAGATAAAAAATTTGTACTCTGAGATCTTTGCTTTTATTTGTCACACAGCAGTGAAAATAAAGAAATAAGATTTTCTGTGCAGTTATTTTATTAGAGCAATCCAACTCCAAGACCTCTTTTAGATGCAGATTTTAAAAAAAGTGTTTGTCACATGGTTCATGAGCCAGATTTGAATAATCTGTCACCATATTCAGGAATTAGACTGCAGCAGTCAGGTATTTCTTTTTTTTCCCCCTTTGTGACTCTTTACAGCCTCGGTTTATAGTTTGATTAATTTGTGTTTTCATGTACCTTTTGTTTCAGATTGTGGTTGTTTTTGCTTTCTTCTTTTCTTTGCTTTGTGGTTGATTTGTGTCCTGGCCTCTTTGTTTTGCAGATGAGGGCAGGAGTGCTGTTCACCTGGCAGGAGGGGCTCAAATAGTAGCTGAACACATTAAATCCCTCTCCCAAAATACTCAGCCGGAAAATGAGAAGCTCTTGACTGTCTTTTGTGGCATGCTGATGAACTATAGCAATGATAATGGTAATGACCATCTTCCCCCCAATAACCATTGTTAACTCATCTCGACTAATCAGCGGAAGCTCTCTTTTCCACACACAGACTGTACGCTGTAACCCATTCAGAAGATTCTATGCTATCTACCTCAGACTCATCTGTCTTCTTTTTCTTTCTGTCACATTCATTTGCCTTTCTCAACCTCTCCTCTAAGGTAATCTCACTTTCTTAATATTTACTCCCACCCTAGCAGTACTTTCTTCCCCTTTCCCCTGTGAGACTCGGATGGTAGACAGTAAGGTGTCTCAGAGGAGTGCCAGTCTGTTAGTCAGCTGCCACTAGGTGGAGCCTGACAAGTTTTGTAATGATAGATTTTGGAGAGTTTTGATTCGAAAAACTAAAAAGGCCCTTTTTTTCTGTTCCCATCAATGCTAATCTAGAGAAATATGTCAAACACATGTGACTCCCATCAAATGACTGGTGGTCCTCTGCCTTTGTCTGTCACACTCCCTGCTAACAATATTAGAACCTCAAACAAGAAAATAAGTTGGGACTGCATGGGAAAGTCTGAGGACAAATGTATAGACCCTTTAATGATTTAATTGCAGATATTGTTAACCCACCTTATTTTGGGTTTCATTCATCCCTCAGACTTGCATCTCCAACACTAGTTCAGCACTGAGAGGTGTTATTTTGTTTCATTTTTCCTTCTAAAAGTCATTACATGTTTCTATTTTTAGTTACTTTGCCATCAAGACTTTTCTGCTTACTGGTTGCTGTATTTGCTTCAAACTTCTGAGCCTCAGTTGTTCTTTATGGAGCTGTAAACATAACTCAAAAACACTGTTTATGCGGGTTCTCTCTCCTTTAAACTCCTCATGTTAAACCAGTCGGACCCTGTCCTGATGCCTGTCCTGTGGCACTGCTCCTTTGGGGTGCAGTCAACAATCACAGAGCTCCTTTAGAAAAGTTTTTAAGGCGTCTGTATCTAACAATCAAGTCTTAAGTGCAACATTTGTGCTTTTCTTTTCGGCTTTTTGTCATTGTTTTTAACAAAAGTGTTTCTTCTGTTCACGTGTGTGTGGTGTAGCTGGTCCCTGCTCTCCTGTGTTTTTCCTGGTTTGTCTCTGGGATGCTGGGGCTTGTTGAGAGCGGACCATTTGTGCCGACAGGCTCCTGCCAGGGTGTGTGTTGCTGCTGGGTGGTGGATGGTGTGGTTTAGCTCTGCTCTGGGAGATTCTGGGTGGCACTAACAGAATGACTGAGCTGCCGTGGCTTCCTGCAGCTTTTAGCGTGGAGCTGATGCTTCATAATGAGCCGGCTCTCTGCTAACTCCGAGTCAGGACTAGAAGGTGCGCTGAGATGTGGTGAATCGCACCGAACGGACACACCGGCATCATTTGTGTGAGAATGAACCTGATCTGGTGGTTTCTGGTGTGAATTATGAGAGCTTTGGTTTAATATGTGCAGCAGTGCTTTCTGTTCTGTTCCATGTTCTTTCATCTCAGATCCATTTCACCTTTTAATCAAAGTCAGCTTGTGTTTTTAAGCAATGCTGGATTTTTACCCAGAGCACCTCAAAGGATGGTGACCATTTCCCCACCCTCTCTTCTGCTCATCTGTCCTGTTGGGATTCTTAATTCTGATTGGCTCTTGTCACAAGGAGATGAATCAAAATGGCTTCTTTTTCTTTACACACGTCTCTGATAACTTCCACGCTTACAGCCACTCAATGGCAAACATAGCTACACCTTTCATTCTAAGCAAGCCCAAATGTTAGTTTTTATTGAGCTGATTTCACTTTGAATAATGTAAGTACTTATACTTTTTTTCTTTTAGACTTTTCACTTTCTTGTAGTCTTTTAAACTGGTGGCAGCCTGTTGAAGAGATATAGATTTTTTCCCCACTTCATGGTCACTTTGAAAACGGTGAAGATGATACAGGCTGACACATCGAATACTATTTTTTTTTTCCCACTAAAAATATGATTGACAAGATCTTTTAACTGAAAGTGACAATAAATGCAGATGGATGTGGTGTGAATGCAACAGAGCTGTTTTATGTAACATCGCACCTCATTTTTGCTGTGTCACATGTGGATGAGACAGGCTGTGGCATTCAGGCCCCAAAAACACCTCACCACCTAACATTTTTACTTTAGAATGCCCTTTTTCTCTCACTAAAAAGGTAAAGTAAGTAACCTGTTGTCACATCTAGCCACAGGACACGGTGCTAAAAGGGGAATGTTTTTGAAAATGATCCCCGTTCTCTTTCTTTTCTTGCAGATTCTTTACAAGCCCAGCTCATCAGTATGGGTGTGATCCCTACTCTGGTGAAGTTGCTCGGCATCCATTCTCACAACACAGCCCTGACAGAAATGTGTCTAATCGCCTTTGGAAATTTGGCAGAGCTCGGTGAGTATATCGTCGTGCGGCACTTTGTCGGATTTAGCGTCAGAAGTGTTCTATCTCCATCGTAGCCATTTCATCTTTTTGTAATGTTTTGATCTCAGTGTTGGAATAAAACAATGAGCCTTGCCTCTGTTTATATTTTGGGATCAGAATTTCTACTAATATGTCTGTTTTTTGTCAATTTATTTGCAAGACCTGTTTCTAGTGGCAATTTACTTTCATCAGACTGACAAAGTACTTTCTTGGTTGATGGCTGAGTGTCTCCTTCATACTTGCTGACTGGAGCGTTCTTTGTGTAACATTATAAAGGAACATTAAAATGACTCAGTACAGCAGGTATCTCATTAGTAAGTCAAAAATAGAACGTTAATGGGTTTGAAAAGTGCAGAATTTGTTACATTGAGGGTGAAATTAGGCTGAGGCCCCGCTGTGCCCACTCAGGGTCTTTGGAGAGCAACATCTCTGATTGTTTTCTTCATGCTTCTTGTGTTTCCAGAGTCCAGCAAAGAACAGTTTGCCTCCACCAACATTGCCGAGGAGCTGGTGCGTCTTTTCCAGAAGCAGACCGAGCACGAGAAGAAGGAAATGATCTTTGAGGTTCTGGCTCCACTTGCTGAAAACGGTAATGCTATTTTTCACCTTTTTTAAATGAAATTAGTCAGGGCTCCTACACAATCTTGTGTTTTTATCAGGAGCGGATAAGTCTGAAATAAAGAAAAGGATGCATAAACAACAGTTGGGTTTTTAGACTAATTTCCCTTTTTAGTATTCTGAAACATAATCATGGGCTTATCCAAACAGTATGGTGTATTTCAAAAAGAAAAGAAATGCCAAAGAAAAATAAGGAACCTCTGGTTCGACAGCAAATAAGCCTAAAGACTAAACCAAACAAAGCTGTGTCCATGTTATGAAGAGCTGGACCTCAAACCCTGAGCAGCTCCTACATGAGATGTCCCAGCATGCTCTGCTGCACATGCAGGACACTGTTAGCTTAGTTTGCTGTTCACTCTGGATATCACACACAAATCAAAGAAATTCCGAATTCATAAAAAATGGATTTGGGTGACTTCAGGCTGCAGGATGTGTTCTGTCACAAAGCTTTATTCTGAATGGCAGAGGTGGACAGTTACAAAGTAAATGTACTCGAGTCCTGTACTTCAGTACAGTTTTTGAGAATTTGTACTTTGCTTGAGTCGAATGGGATCGTCGTGGGATCTGTACTTTTCCTCAAGCATTAAAACTGAGTAGTTTGTCCAGCACCACTGAAATGAAACGCTAAGTGTTTGACACGCTCGTTTTTCTTGGCTGGATTTTGTAACTCAGAATTATGGCCTGTTGGAGGCAGCCAGACCATAAAGCAGCCACGACCCGTGTCTTACTGCAGTGTTCAGCCCACAGCCCAATTAGCTCTCCCCGGACCACAGAGAACTCACTGTGGGGATGATGGGGCATTCATCTGGTGGCTCCGGCTTCTCATCTGGATCTGTTTGCAGGGATCTGTTCCCCACATCAGAACCCCAGTGCTGCTCAGGACCCAGTGTCCTGATCTAGGCCTAAAGACTTTTTCACAAGTCCTCTGGTGGCATAGTATGAATCAGAGGGATTGTTTTCATTTTCTGCATTAGTTTTCAGTCATGTATTAAACAAATAAATACATCTAAATGCTTGTATCCTTCAGGAGATTTATACTGGAGGGAATGAGAGGTGTGGATATTCAGATGCAAAATGATGAGAGGCTGCAGTGTTGTTAAACCGTAATGAAAATCTTGTCCACCGCCTACTGTAAACTCTCTGTTCAGTGTGAGTCATGCTTCCCAGACTGCACAGTCATGACAGAACAGCCCCTGCATGTACCCGGCTGCTTGTTTTATACAAATCTGTGTGTGTGTGTGTTTAAGTAGCACAGAGTGAGCATCTTACTAAGTGTTATTAGTACACCAGGCACACTGAGTGCTTCCAGACCGACAGTCTCCAGGACAATGTCCTACTTAACTAAAAAAAAAACCTCTCTCCAGCTTTAATTTCCACACTGCAGACAGTCATTAAGAGCAAAAAGTTCACAGTAAGTGTTAAACTGGTGAGACTGATCATTAAGTGTTCTTTCTATCATAGTTATGAAGCAGTAACAATGACTTTTTGGATAGTTTTTGCTATATAAAATAGGAGCAGAAAGAACAAACTACAGGTGACTGTCCAAAGCTCTTTCAGATTTGTGGTTCTCTGTTTTTGGCTTCATCCATTTGGAGCAGAAGCAGCTTTCAGCTCGTTGAGTGTCCCAGACTTTCCCTACAGTTTTCACAATAGAAATGCTTTATCAACTAAAACTATGAAACCTTTGAACAAATAAGTCTCCATTCTGTTATCTAGCTGAGATCAACCACCATTGTCATATTGATTATCGACCTATTCTTTCAGTATTATGACACCACTGTTATTTAAAGCCAACATCTGATAAACCTTGCAGGATACTGAACATAAAAGTACGACACCAAGAGTTAATTTCTTACAGCAGTCTTAAGTTTAGTATGCCTTCATAACAGTATCAACCTGGATTTTTAGAAATGAACAGTAGTCCATCAGTCAGTGCAGCTGTCCTCTCTGACTTAATCATCACCGTTCTGCTTTGAGAGAGGAGATCTTTTCCTCATTTTATTAGACTTTAATATTTAGGGCAAACAAATAAAGAGACGGGAAACTACAGGGAAGGGAAGTTTGCTTTCATTATTACTTTTTAATTGGATAATCTGTGGTATCTGAGCAGCTGACCATGTTCCAGATTAAAGGACCCCCCCACCTACCCCTGCATGAGGTCAGTTGACTAATCAGAGTACTTTCTAATACGCTTTTGAAAGTAAGAAGGAAAATGAATGGAATAGACAAAAGATATTCTTAATTATGCTACCTATCCAAACCAAATGACATCAAGTCCTGCCTTTAAACTTCAGTCTGTTGACAGAATGGACAGGAGAACAGTCATCTCTGTCCCAACCTCCAGGAACAAACAGAGATAACGGCCTCCTGGCTGGGGGAAATGACCCAGATCTGTGTTCCATCATGAGAACTGTTCAAACACTCTATAAGTGGAAGGAAAGGAGATCCAGCGCATCCTGTGTGATCCTCTTTATCTCCGGTTGTCTGGAGACCAGGAAAGGCCAGAAACTCACATTTTGCAAATGTGCAAAAACACAATGGCCACTACATAAAATGCGGTCCTCCTCAGGAACCCAACGCATTAGTGTCAGTGGTACTGCTCTATTCTGGACACAGTTTCCATCACATTAAGGGAAAATCTGAGCTCAACTTACATGCACTCAAACTCGGATTTCGTAAGACTTGTTTTATTATCTTATACCAAGTTTCAAGACGGCCTGAGCTGTGGTCCTCTGCTCTTTATAGGTGGAGGGTATTTGCCAAACTAAAACTCACCCCAGAGGAGGTTGCTCAGATGGTAGATTATTGTAGAGACCTGTGATGTCTGTCATGATAATCGCTAAAGCCAGACGACCTTTATGCTCCCGCCAACAAAGTCTAGAGCCCATGTTCTCTTCTCAAGTCTGTCTTAAAGCAACACCTCTACACAGAAAAAAGAAATTTGCTATTCAAATCAGTTCGTGTGTGAGAGAAGCAGCTTGTCCCTCCGTTTCATACCTTAAGATAAAGCGTCATTAGCCACCCTCAGACTCTCTCTTGAACTTAAAAATCAGCTTATATATACTGGAAATACTGGACTCAGACCTGAACATTGCATTTCAGTTTTCTGCTCCTAAAATCCAGAAAAGTCTTCCTGAAGAGGTGGAACAGGCCTCAGCTCTGAATGTTTAAATCCAGACTGAAAACGGTTCTATTTTGTTGTGCAAATGACAACTGAAGGGATTTTATCTGCACTCCTCATTTTTATTAAATTAGTCAATGATTTGTATTGTTTTATTTTGTTGAACTTATTCTGAACTTTCTGATGCATACTATTTCATGTAAAGCACTTTGAATAGTTCTGTACTCAAACTGTGCTGTACATATGAATGTGCCTTTGTCTTACATGAAAGATAATGGTAGTTTCAGGACAGATACAGTTTGTGGTGTTCGGCCGGGCTCCTGAAGGAGATTTCTGGACAGACATGAAGGATCTGGGATCGTGGGGCTCTGTTGACTGGGCCTCTCATGCTGTGGGGAGTTTCTGAGTGGCCTTTTGGTCCTTTTTGCGTGGGCAGATGTGATCAAGCTGCAGCTGGTGGAGGCCGGCCTGGTGGAGTGTCTGCTGGAGGTTGTGGCTCAGACTGTGGACGGAGAGCGGGAGGAGGACATCGCCCAGCTCAAGACCGCCTCGGACCTCATGGTTCTTCTGCTTCTGGGAGGTAAATGTCCTGGTTAGATCAGTCTGGCCTGTACCTGGTAGCTCAGTATTTCTTTGCCTGATGCTTTGCTGGAGTACCTCACTGTTGGAATGGAAGTCCAAAAGCTTATTGACCTCCAGTGGACCTAAATAAGGGTTGAAGTGTCAGCGTTCTAGCGGTCTTTCCAGATTTAAGGCTGGCAACAACAACTCACAATAGTAGAAAGTCTGGTTTTGTCCACATATTGTGTTTCTGTATACTTCATTTGCTGTCGAGGTGTAAAAGAATGATACGTGTTGTAGCAATGGCTGTTAAATAATTAACGCTTCCTGTAAATATTTCAGCAGATTCAGCCAGAATGTTTTCTCTCTGTTCAGCACTTCACCTGTGAGGGATTCCACTCCCTTCATTTGTAATGCGGTGGGGGTTAAGCGCGTCTCATTAGCCACCCGGCGGTGATTCAGCAGCCCTGGGGGCTGTTGTAACCCGGCCTGTTCCCTCTGTGCAGATGAGTCCATGCAGAAGCTGTTTGAGGGGGGAAAGGGGAGCGTCTTCCAGAGGGTCCTGTCTTGGATACCGTCTAACAACCACCAGCTGCAGCTGGCCGGGGCTCTGGCTATCGCCAACTTTGCTCGCAATGGTAACCTTGATTCTGTAATATCTGGTTATGGGTAAAACTGACCGTGCAGGGTTTTTTCAGACCTGGAAACAGAGGTCTCAGGCTGCGTTTGTGCTTGTGCGCAGATGGGAACTGCATCCACATGGTGGACACCGGCATCGTGCAGAAGCTGCTGGAGCTGCTGGACCGCCACGTGGAGGAGGGCAACGTGACGGTGCAGCACGCGGCGCTGAGCGCCCTGCGGAACCTGGCCATACCCGGTGAGGGGCCCGCCCAGTCTAGCTGCCCATCAGCCCAGCCTTTAGAGACCATAGTGTTCCCCGTTGATGCTCAAACATCTGGGCCCCCACATGACCATGAATAATGCAGCGATGAGCTCTGATGCTTCGCCCTGCGTTTTAGCTAGGGTTGTCAAAAGTATTGATACATAAATGTTGTATCCGGATACGATACTCATTTTCAAAAGTATAGATACATCCCCCCATCCCGCGCTGTGAAACTAATAGTGAAAGGAATCTTGCAAACACTGAACTCTATAACTCTACAAATTCTATACATAATATTATGTTAAACAAATTTTTGTTAAACAGGTTTGTACAATAAGTCCAAACAAGTTTAAGCAAAAAATATTCATTTCTCAGTATTATGAAGGGTGGAGGGTTAGGGTTAGGGTCAGGGTTAGGGTTAGGGTAATTAATGTGGGCCACCGCCCACGATAACATCAGTAATGGGTAAATTTGAAATGAAAGACAATAACCTGTCAAAATACAGTGAAATTTTGGGGTCTTTGTTTTTATCCTTGTGGTATCGAAAATTGTATCGAGTATCGAATATTATTCTGAGTGTCGGTATCGAGTTGAAATCTTTAGTATCGTGACAACGCTAGTTTTAGGAGGCTGGTTCTTCATCGTCCTCAGCTGCAACATAGATTTTTGTAAAGTGGCTGGAATTATCCTCCGACAGCTGGCATTTCCACCCTGTCCTTTCAGGCCTTTGTTGGGACATTTTTCCTGTCTTTTATGACGTATATGGACAGGCAGAACATCACCAGCGCGCATTACATGATAGTGAGGAGGTTTGAAAACCAGCTCTGCCCGTCTGTCCCCCCCCCTCCACAGTGGTGAACAAGTCCAAGATGCTGTCTGCTGGCGTAGCCGACGTGGTGCTGAAGTTCCTGCAGTCGGAGATGCCTCCCGTTCAGTTCAAGCTGCTGGGGACGTTACGCATGCTCATCGACACGCAAGGTACAGGCCTCCTTCTGTCCTCCTCACTTACTGGCTGGAGCTCTCAAATTGCTGATTAGTCACATTGCAGCTTGTGAAATATTGACTGGGAATCCATGATTCCTCACATGTTCTAAATTCCAGCAGTTATACGACACAGGCCAGTTAAAGTGCATGAAATGCCCGTTCCATTCACACACGCTCGTTTTCCATGTTGTTGAAGTGGAACAAATTTAGGAAAAATTGGTTAAAATTGATTTAACGCTTTCCTACAGATGTTTCCATCTTGACTCCATTTGTGAATAAAACCAAAATGCACTTTGGTTCTCATCTGAAAATCTCACTGTATAAAGGAAACTTGTGGAGAAAAAAGTGAATCAAATTCAGCTGTGCTTTATTCTGCAACCCAGAAAGTGTTGTGTTGAGAGGCCTTTCACCTCTTTTTCACCTCCTTCTGTCAGCAGAAATCTCTTCTCTACACAAAAAGCGAGGGACAGGGACATGGCTCCTTTCTTTATTTTTAACCTCGAGGTCTTCTGGCTTCTTTCGACTTGGGAATGGCCACAAAAGAAACCTAGTTTGAATCATTCGGGTTTCCGGTTTCTGCTTTGATAAAGGCAGATTTAATGCTGTTCTGAGAGACATGAGCAGTTTACAGCCTGTCACACATTAAAGTGTTGTCTGGTTCTGATAATGCCTCTCACCTCCAGCTTTCCTCGCTTCCTCTGCTCACATTTAGGGTGGGAGGGACTAAGATGCAAGCCGAGGAGGCGATTGGAGGACTGGAGTGTGTGCAGATTAGGAAAATTGACAGTAGGCTGCACTGCTGCTGCGAGGCCAGTGAGGAGTGTCACGCATGACACACTCACTGCATCCGGCTGGCTCTGTGCATTCAGATAAACAGAAAAAAAAGACCGAAATGAATAGTTGGTATTTGTAGTTACAAAATATAAGGATTTTTTTATGTCTAAAGCCATGTGACATTTTTTTTTGTCCTAACGAAATAATTTAGCATTTGTTTAATTATATCTGTGTTGATTTATCCACTGAAAAAGCGTTTCCTCAGATGACTTAATGGAAGATGTTTCTCCTAAACTTGCCGTTCACTCTCCACCTCTGTTTAAAAGCTTTTCTGACGAGCAGGGGAGGTCTTAATGGCTTTCAGGGCCTCGGTTCTGAGTCATATCGGCAGAAATATGGTGACAGCTGCTCAAGGAAGCGCACAGCCGTGCGCTTGCCAGTAATCCCGCATGCCTGCTGTGTGTGTTGGTTCAGCCGAAGCCGCAGACCAGCTGGGAACCAACGGGAAGCTGGTGGACCGGCTCGTGGAGTGGTGCGAAGCCAAAGATCACGCGGGAGTGATGGGCGAGTCCAACCGGCTGCTGTCGGCCCTCATTCGGCACAGCAAGTCCAAGGTAGGCCGAAGGCTCCGCGGGCAGCTCCCACTGTCTGTTAGCATTCAGTCATAAACTTATATATAATAAAAAACTAGTGAATCAGAAATAACTGCTATATTAACACATCCTCATCCTTGTTACTGGTGTTGATGGTGTTTTTTACCTTTTATTATGGGTTCTAGGAAGTCGTCAGAACCGTTATCCAGGGAGGAGGAGTCAAACACTTGGTTACCATGGCAACTAGCGAGCATATGATCATGCAGAACGAAGCTCTGGTGGCTCTGGGCCTCATAGCAGCCCTGGATTTGGGTAAGGCCAGTTCCACCGGATTGGGCCTCTGATAGTTCATCCCTCTTTGACCCTCTTTGTCTTTTTTTTTTATCCATGTGACGCTGACAGTAATTTGTTTTATTAAACAAGATGGCATTTTCAAACCAGGGCATATGTTTGAAACTTTTTGGACAGCTGTTAGTAAAAGGTTAAAAACCTGTTTGGAGTGAAGGAAGGCTTCAGGAGGTCTGTTAATAAGCAAATTGGATTCCATCTGGGCTCTTTTGTTATCCAGTTGATCCGTTTGTTTGTGACAGACATCCACTTTAACACTGCGGATGACACCAGGGTCAGTTGTCTTTAAAGAGATGAAAAATGGTCAGGAATCTGTTTTCTGACACATGCTCATCCAGGAAAACTGTTCCAGACAAAAGACGCTTCACGCTAATGTATTAATGAGTCGGGCAGCACATTAGATCTTATTCAATTTGAGCAGCTTATATTTGCATAAAGCTAATCTTAGGATAAGCCCCAAACCTTCTGCACACTCCTGCATGCATCTTATCCACAAGGTGAACTTCAAGCCCCGGCTTCCTGTAGAAAACCACCCTATCCCCCTGTGCCCTGGCTTTCAGTTGCGGCTGAGAAGGACTTTGTGGGAGCCAGCCTGGTGTCGGTGCTCCACAAGCTGCTGTCGGACGAGAGGAGTGCCCCCGAGATAAAGTACAACTCCATGATCCTCATCTGTGCCGTCATGGGCTCAGGTGAGGGGAAACTCTACCATCAATAGGACAAATGCAGCACTGACATTAAAAATATCCTTCCACATCATCAGCTTTACATCTTCCAAATGAAACCAATATGCCGACAAGAAGACAGTTGAGTTGAAGCGGGCCCTATCTGCTTCATAAAATGAATAATCTCTTTTTTCTGGATCACAAACATTAATGGAGGCAATCTACAAAGCAGCATGAAAGCAGTGGTGTGCTTTTATGTAGAACTAGAGGATTTTTAAAGTTGTTAAGCAAAGAAACTCACTGGCTCACTGAATCAGAAGAAGCAATTGTTTTACTTTGTTTCTCACTAACAACTCCAGCCGAACTGCAGCTATTTCAGTAGATGATGAAAGAATTTGAGGTTGCTTTTACTGCATTTGAAGATCTGTTAAAGCTGAACTGCTTACAGTTCTATTTAATTCAAAGTTTTGTCTTTATCACATGACTTTAAATGTCATTATTGACCTGTGGACATGAGTACTACTATTAGAGAGAGAAACCAAAAATAGGACAATATGTCCATTTCAAGACAACAGCGATGCTCCATGGAGCACTGATGGAAAATATGAGGAAGAAAACCATATTTTTGGGAGCTCAACCTAAATGTTGGTGAACTTTATCAGTGTTGGATCAGCAGAATGAGTATCATGACACTTTTCCATCCTAATGTTTTTCAGAGCCTCTTCACAAGGAGGTGCAGAGCTTAGCGTTCATCGACGTGGTGTCCAAGCTGCGGGCTCATGAAAACAAGTCGGTCTCGCACCAGGCCTCGCTCACAGAGCAGCGGCTAACTGCCCAGAGCTAAATGACTGTGTGTAACCCCCTCCCCCCCCCCGCAGCCACCCACCCACCCAAACGCCTGCCTGACCACCTCCTCACCACCTCCAAACCTCATGACTGCTCCTCCCCGTGCCCCTTCGTCATGTGCCAAGGTACCAGGTCACGTTAACTGCCAGCTAGACATACAGCCGTCTCTCTGTCATCAACCCCCCCTGCCCCCCCCAACCCCCCTCACCCATATCTGCATGGTTTAGACCGATGTGCAGAACCTCGCACTTAAATTGAAGTCATGAATTGGAGTGTTTTTTGATAAAGATTTTTTTTTCAGTTGATTTTTCTTTTATCACTATATGGTGAAAAGGCCTCTGAAACAGTTTTTCCACCTCTCCTTTTTAAAGCCATAGGAGCTAGATGTAAAGGTGGGTGGCACGTCTTTAAGGCACAGTCAGGCAGGCTCCATTTCGGGCTTTACCAACCCCGTGGTATCGGACACGGCAGACAGATTAGAATCTGCAAAGGCTCCGCATCAGTCTAAACCAGGTCCCACCTCCACCTGTGCATGCACCCTCTGCCCGACGCCGCCCCGCCGGGGCTGAGGCGCCATAAGAGAGACAAGACTTTTACGACCATAGCTGTGACACCATCGGACGGAAAGCCACCACTGAAACATGTGCACAAACTAAGGAACTCCAAAAAAGAAGAAAAAAATAATAATCCTACCACTTTTTCTAAAGAAGAGAAACAGCCATCCATGACGTGTCTGGTCGTGTCCCTGTAGCCGTGTATGAGCTGACTAGAAGCAGTGCATGTTTTTGTCCCGTTGAAGCTGTGACAGTGCTCGTTCCCGCCCCCCCCACCACCACCACCCCACACCTCCGGTCTCGTGCTCTCCTCTTTTTTGCACTCGTTCTTTAGACTTGGATTTAGAGATTTTAGCGTTTTAATTCCACATATGTCCGAAACACATTCCCCTGATCCGGAAGGTGTACAGTGAGAGAACCCCGCGCTTTTCCAGGCCGTCGCAGAAAGGCTGCCCGGCAGGAGGGCCAGGCCGTGGACAGAGGTCAGTAGTTATCCTAGTCAGCCTTTCTTAGCCGAGTCCGGGACTGAGAGCAGTCGAGTTTAGCCAGAGAAAACGTCCACGCGGCCAATTGGAAGTGTGCCTGTCCCAGTCAAAATGTCTACTAGAGCTGTTTAGCCCTCGGCAGAGTATGAGCTCTGTAGGAGCTTCGGGCCTTGATTCAGGACCGTCGTACATCATGTTGTGGTCTTACATAACCGTTTCCTAGTAGTTTCACAACATGTCAACGTATGAATGTTTGACATGGACGGTGGGCGAAAGATAACCCATCGTAGAGTGAGAGATTTGCAACAATAAATATGTTTGTCTGACCAAGGAAGATATTTCCAATGACGCAGCACATACACTGTAAAGCTGAAGAAAGCACTGGATGATCTGGATCTGACCCGGCTGCTTGCTGTTAGTTCCAGCCTCGCTCGTCATTGCCGAGAAATCAGGGTCGAGGACTATTTTAGACGGGCAGGATATTGACAGAGGAACAGCCTTTTCTCCATTTGTCCCGGCTAGTGGAAGGGATCCGTGCAAAGACGCACTTGTGAGCATGTCCCCAACCGGGCCCTCCCCGTCCGCCGTGTCCCTCCGTCTGGGCCGACACTTTTTTTAAGGTATGAATGGTTATTTATCAGACTTGTGATCTACTTAAGACACATGCCAGTGGAGATGTATCCATAGTAACTGCATAAAATACTATAAACATAAATGTTTGTTGTAAATGTCATTGACTTGTACATTTGGAGGACTCGGCAGATAATTAAAAGATGATAGCTGGTGATGACTGTCTCTTTCTTCTTCGTTTGTCTGGGGAGGGAGATAAAGCAGCCCTCTTTCATATCTGTTAGCCTTTAGCATGCTTGGGTCAGTGTCGACACGTTCAGAATTTGAAAGTCTGACATTTTTTTCAAAATGTCAGACTGCTCCATACCCCAGAGCTTTTCATCTAAAATGAGGCTTGGTATAATTCCTATATAATGCTTGTTGTAATGTGATGTCTTTAATGAAATAACTGGTATTTTTAGGTCAAATCTACTGAGTGCATGTGGTTGGTCTTTGCCCAGGGTCCCCCCCCCCACCCCTGGGTGTCCCCAGACGCCCCCATAGCCCACCAGGAACTGAGTGGAGACTGTTGGCTCACGGTTAGTGCAGCTTCTGGCACACAGCGGCAGCTCTCTAAAGGTGTGTGCCAACAGTGGGAGGTGCCGTGCACACACACATTTTTAACAGCAGTGCCAACGGGAGAGAGGAACACACTTCAGACAAAAAAAACAACATTTGTCGCCATTATTAATTCTTTTTATTTGACATTAAAATCAGTCAAACTTGAAGAGGACATGGGACGAGGAGATGAGGAGGTAGTTACATATACAGTGACTAACTAATGCTGATGAGTAGGAGGCCTACAGAACACCTTTAGATCATTTTACAATCTAAAAAAAACAAAGTGACAAAGTATGGTCAGTGATACTTAATGTTTTAGTATATGAAACCAAATTAAAAATGTACAATAAATATTTAGAATAAAAAAAAAACAGTTCACCCATTTTTAAGGAGCTTAACACAATGTAACCCACCTGAGTTCCAGACTGACAAAATTCACTTTACAACAAAGACCACCGCTTGAAAAAATACTGCAAATACTTTGCTACAAATGCATGCTTAGAGCATATGTTCACTTTAAACCTTCGAAAAGAAACGCCTAGAAAAATCCCTTCGACGACTCCTCTCTGTCACAATGCTTCTGTTGTGTAGTGGTCTGATGAACACACACAGAGCCACCAGGGTGTGCCACAAGTGTTGACCATTTTTTCCCAAACTTCACTGAAGTTTCTCTGTCAAGACATCAGCTTGTTGTCTTTCGGAATGGGGCAACACAACAGGTGTGCAGCTACACACAGCTTGGTGTAGACGGAGCACAAACACACTTTATGTACATCTTCCAAAAGACGGGGAGCAAAGGGTGGCCTTCATAACTAAAGAAAACATGAGTGGTGATCAGGACACAAGTTTTTTAGTTTTTCATTAAGGCGGGATATTTGGACCTATTAACTTAGCCTTAATTCCACAGTTCTGAACAAAAAGCGTGATTTTCATTGAACGGATTGCTTGTGGGCGTCCCCACCATGTGTAGGTGTGTTTCCCAGTTTTCCCACCAGCTTAAAGCTGCTTTTACGGGGAAACTGCGACTCCAAAGTGGGAGTTTGAACGTCTTACCTGAAATACGTCAGTGATACAATCAAAGAATAAACACAATTTACATTTGAGTTTTAGCTGGTAGCAACAACAAAAAGTGGCCAATGGTGCAATTCCATCAGTCCTGGTAGTGAGGATGTGCACCAAAGCTACGATGTGCCAGTACTTTCACAACGTCCCCACATGAACTTAATCCCTTAATGCCCGTTAGCCCAGTTAGAGCTCCCAGTGCAGACTGCTAAATGACCAACTGGTTATGAAGGGGTTAACTTTCTCTCTGAGGTGCCTGAGATGACGTGCCCTATGGAAACCAGGGCTTTTGGGATCTGTGTCTGGAGACTCTAAACTAAACGTCTGGGTTTAGTGCAGTAACATGAAAGATTGAGTCCAGAGTGGGGGACGGAGCAGGATCCTGAATTGGGCAGGGGGCGGAGCAGAATCCTGACCTGGGCAGGGGGGGCGGAGCAGGATCCTGACTTGGGGAGCAGGATCCTGACTTGGGCGGGGGGACCGGCTCTTTGTTCCCTCGGTGTCACAGACTACGCTTCAGTGCTGGGCCCTTACTTCCAAAGTGAAAAATATGAATCTAATATCAAAAAGATGTATCAAAACTGCTATTCTCTACATGTAGCTATCAAAACTGGAGCACTGCAGTTGGCCAGTGATTCCGTGTCATCTTGGGCCGTGTTTTTTTCTCTTTTTTTGTTATCCGGTGGTGGCGCCCAGTGTTTCTACAGAGCGTTTCACAGGTTGGTGCCTGGAGAGGGGGTGCTGGTTCAGGGTAGGGAGCGGTGCAGGTGGGCGGGGCCGGTCTCTGAGCCCCCCCTGACTGGACGCAGGGAGACGCGTTCAAAGACGAGGCTGCTTGGAAAAAGAGGGGAAATAGTCAGCGAATGATTCTGCAATCCGGCTGAACTTCTGAAATAACATTAAAACAGAACGGTCACCTGTTAGGACAGACAGGCGGCCTCGGGGTTAGGTAAAGAAACTGGAAGAGAAGACAGAGACGGGGGGGGGTGTTAAACAGACAAAACCAGTGAACCGTCTCACTGACGTGGCCCCGACACTCTGCCGTCTTTGAACGTTTTTAGCAAGCACAGAAGAGCAGAGCAGGTAGCGGTGGAGAGAAGGGTTAGCTCTGGGGGGCTAAGGGAGGAGCGCTGTGCAGTAGTCTAAACTATGGAGGAAACAGACTGGACCAGGAATGCAAGTCAGTGCACCACAAAGCCGGGCGGAGTCAGAGTGTGCAGGCAGAGGAAGAAAGAGAGGGCTGTTTGGCTCATTAATGCACACTGTGGGAGGAGCAGAGGCCTACAGTCGCACTGCCTTAAACCGTTTGGTCCGCTTTTAAAGGCCTCTAAAAGCTTCTGCTAACAGGAGCCGGCCCTGGAAAGAAGCAGCTTTCTGTTTGTTCTGCAGAGACGTGGGCTGATCAACCAGCAACAGGGACCTCCAGTCAGTTACAGGCAAAGAAGGGCTGCCACCTCCAGTTCAGAGCTTCACATCTGCCCTGGAAGCCTGAACCACATCGTATCCTTCACATATCTAAAAGTGTGGACTGTATCTTGATAAGAGAAGGGTGGCAGTCACTCAGCCGAGGCTAACGGCTCAACCTGAGGGCTTTAGATGGATTCATTCATTCTGCCACTTCTGGTTCAACTTTGGCTAAATTCAAAGTTAATCATTGTCTTAAACCAAATAGACATTTGAAAAAAAACCAGGCTGAGGACCGTCCCAGTGAGCTGTGTTTGCTACACTGGGAGTCCCAAGCACAGCTGTCCACATGATGGCCGACACAGAGGGTTTTGTGTCCAGTGCTAATGGCCCTTTCTGTTCACAGCTCTGTTAGGGGCCATCTTCTAAAACCTGGACTTCTTGTTGTCTATGTGGTGATTCAGGTTGTGTTTTTACAGAATTACACAAGGCAACACGTTTGCTTGGACCAAAAATTGAATACACTTTAAAAAAAAACAAATAAAAAAAAACCCTATATATATTATTTCCAACCTAAAAACGGACTCTTCCAGGCTTTTAGTGCATTGTCATAATCAGCTTGAATATTTTAGTCACACAGCGACTGTCTTTTTTTTCTTTTTTTTCTGCCTCCACACAACACTAGAGGGTGGGAAAAACATACCGATGCCCGCAGTGTGAAATATGGGACACAGCACAACACCACACAGATCACAAAGCATTGGTCAATACAGAGCAAACGAGCCAGTGGACCGAGCACACCCACCGGCTCCAAACACACATACATTCTGCCCGCGCCTCTCATGAGTAGTAAGCCGATGATTTCTTGCTGTGGTGTGGTGGGAGTCGACGCATGAAGAGAGGGGGGGGCACCCTGATGAAGCATGAAGGAGGAAGAATGAGGGGTGAGATGAGTTTTAGCATCCAAATGGTAAAGTTCCACAACAGGAGTAGGAGTAAACCTCTAAGAATGTCCCTCCTCGTCCTCTCCAGCAGCTTTTCCTTCTGATTTCTATCACTCTAAAAGAGGATTATTCCAAACTCTTTAGCTCAGTTTGCTATATTATGATCCCTCACTAGCTTGACATTTTAAGTCCCTGAATGAGATCTATTTTTAGATGTTGCTCCCTTTATATAATGTGTTGTCAACAATATGTTGACATGCTGCTCGTGCAGTCCCAGTCAAACTAACTCACATAACGCTTTGGGGTGATAGTTTTTGGGCTTTTCAATGGTTTGTTTGAACTGATCCACCGCAAGTTATTTAGTTCAACTGACTGAGAAATGTGGCCGCTCTGCCCCCCTGCCTCATCTGAGGAGAGTCTGGTTATGGAGGACAGAGGGTGTGAAGCTACACTCCTGAGTCTGAGGTCTGGCATCTGAGGTCCACCTTTAAAATCAAGACCTCCAGGCTCAGCTACTATTGGAAAAAGCCGTCTGGACGGCGTAGAGCGCTCTGTGAAGGACGCTGTTAAAGTCAGAGGGGGGGCGGGGTGGGGGTTTATTGCCAGTACAAGTGGGAGAATACACGAAATGGATGTAGATGTGAAAGACGACCACCTGACCATTATTTAGCATCAAGAAAAGGGACTGAAACCTGAACACCACAAACGGACGACGAATTGAACAGACTTCATTTAGCTAAGACATGTCTTAGCTAAATGCTAAGACATAGCTAAATGCTTACTCATGAGAAACCATAAACCTCCACCTGGAAAAGAGGACACACCGTGCATCCCCAATACAACTAACGACATGATGAATAACTTTGTGCTGGTTTGAAGGAGATGCTAACAGGAGACACAACCGCTCATGACCATGGGCCGCGTGCTGGAGGAACTACTCAAAATGATTCACTCATAAACGCAGCACAGAGAGTGATGGTAAGTTAAAAAAAAAAAAAGCCTAGCTCAGTCTGGCAGACAGGATGTCACCACAGAAACGCCACAGAGCCCTGTGGTGTTTCATCTTGGAGCAAAGGTAAAATATTCTACTGGAAACACCTACTGTTTCAGGAATTACTCTGACCCCTGCTAAAGTGGGATTTATTTAATTATCGTTTGAAGATTCTGTTATTCATGCCTGTCAGAACAACAGAGGGGAAAAAAGTCCCAGAGAGAAAAGTAAATGGTAGAAAAGTAGAGTTTTCTCACCAGCTCGCCCTCACTGCTTCTATGTCGCTCACTAGATTTTGGGCCAAACAGATCCCAAAAATCTGCAAATGGTGGAGAAAACAAAGCAAAACACATCAGTAATATAAGAGGGGGGTTGGGGCAGATTTATTTTGTTTAGACTGGAACTGACCTGCAGTAGTGCGACTCCGATGAAGATCCCGGCCACCAGGGTCAGGTTGTCCTGTAGCCACTTCTCAAACTGTGGCACACAGCCCTTCACGTTGATGAAGTCCTTCTGCTCAGCGTCCTGCAACACAACTCACTGTCACGCACTTATCTTCCCCGAGTGGACTCGCAACATAAAACCCATGAAGAACGAAAAAAACACACACACGGAATCACAAAATTCCTGTGTATCTCTAGAAGGAGCTGTGTTCCAGTGAGCTCATGCAGAACGTGTTTTAACAGCGTGTAAAATGTTACTTTGTAATGAGTATTAGGGCAGTTTGCCACTGTAGGAAATAGGAGTTAACTTACCGGTTTTGCTCGAACATCATATCCACACTGAGTGTTTATTACATCCTCCTACAGACAGAAACAATAAGACTGTTCAAACCAGCAGAAAATACACCAAAGTGATCAAAATCATCAGATGACCTACCGCGGGGTCCTTGGTGCAACAGGAGAAGGGAACCCCACACTTTTCCCGACTTGGATTCCCATCAGTGCAGTTAAAGTATATGTTCAGGTTCCAGTCGTCAGCCCCGAACGCGCCGCAGCATTCCCACTGAAGTTAGAAAAGGACCAAAGTTAAGTTAAAGAAACCTACGGGTGAGATTCAAGATTTTGTCAAGTTGCATAGCAACAATTCTTTAAATTAAAGCAGTTTGAGGACAGTTTGGGCGAAACATGAGGTATTGGGGTATAATCTAAGATGGTTCTATGCAGCATCTTCATTACCATTTCCTTGACTTACGTATTCCTGAGTGAAATCGATTAGGTTCTGCAGGTCGATGTCGTCCCTGTACGCCCGGATGTTGTTGTTTATGAACAGGTTCAGCTGGTCTTTGATCCAGTCTTTGAAGACAAAGGCCAGAATTCCCGTTGTCAGCTCCAGGAAAAAGATTATTCCCAGAAAGACAGAAAACTACAGGAGAAGAGGAGGACACAGATGATAGAGAGGTCAGGCCCGTGCAGGACATTGACCGTTTCTGTTGGTTTATGGCCCCTGTGCAGTCAAACTTACAAACTTAAGCAAAAAGGTGTTTTCTCGCAGCGCTCCAATGCATCCAGCGAAGCCCAAAATGAACATAACCCCTCCAACCACCATAAAGAGCCAGACCGGGTCCAGGCCCCCCAGGTCGGTGATGGACGAGATGTTGGACAGGACCCCCTAAAGGAGACAGAGCACATCGCCCCGCCCGGTGAGTCTGGACAAGGGTCAAAGGGGCATAAAGGAGACCAGACCTCCACCTATGACCAGCAGGTTCCAGGAACTGCATGAGCATTTTCTAAAACCAAACATGTTTAGCGTTTTACTTTTGCCCATAAGGAAGCTGGAAAGCTGGAAAACAAACCAGATGTTGAGCTATTTCCAACATTAAAGGATTAGCGCGGGTGATGAGCTGCTTCCACTAAACCAGAGGACAGCCATTTGGTCTCCGTCGACTCCACGGAGACCCAGCAGCTCTTAAGCCACCGGAGGCCGTCTATGCCCGCCTAGCCTCTGCTTCATGTGGTTCAGACCACTTACACAACTGGATTCTTACTTTTTTAATCTGAAATATAAGAGGATGTGCTTACCTTCTCACTCCATGCCCACAGTCCAATTCCAACCAAGGCCATGCCCAGCAGCTGCAAAACACCAGTCACACCAGTCACACCTGTTACTTCCAGTAACAGGTAACAATATCCTACAGAAGCTTTGTTTTAAACTTTATTTTTATCCACAATATTAGTTTAAACAGCCCAGCTACAATTATTAGGTGAGAGAAAGTTTTTTATTTAGTTTATAGCGCTGCTTATCGTGGTAATCAGCCATTGGCTGCAGTTTATATTGACTGGGTGCTTGGGACAGGACTTTTGCACCACTCATGTAATTCACATGAGCACACTGTGTCCGGCTGACCCTCACACCCGCTGCCCCCTCACACCCAGTGACCCAGCTTCTCTCTGCGGCTTTGGGCAAGCAGCCAACCCTGTGCAGAGTAGACCCTGTCCATCAGTCATCTGGCACACAGAAACCGGCTTCAGTGGGCTTCCACTGTCTCACAGCTCATGTGTGAGGAGGTCCCACTGACCACCAGAGACCCTGAAAGCTGGACCATACCGGGGTCTGGATTGTGCTCTGCGGCAGCCTGGTTTTCTCCTGACGTCAAACGTGCGTCAGGCTCTGTTCATCCACTCAAAAGGGAATGCCTGCTACACAACATGAGGGGTAGGACGACTGCCATCTGCCCCTTCTGCCCCCCGTCCTATCGCAGGACAGAGTCGGGTCCCTGACCGCTTCTCTACGGCTCTAGAGTCCCGTTTGGGAGTGACGTCACTCTCTACATTTCCACGTCACGCCGGCCGGATCCCGCAGCCCGTGGCCTCCCAGCTGACCGGCCGCGGGCTGCCCTGAGCCCGTCAGCTGGATGGAAGCCGCTGAGCTGCCTGTGCGGAAAGCCGATTAGCTCTGCGGGGCCGGGCGCAGCTGCCCCCGTCCGGACGGGGCTGCCCAACGGCCCAGATACCGGCCACAAGGAGCCCCGGACGGCCGATACTAGCAACACGGAGCCCCGGCCCCGGAGCTAACGGTCCGGTGGTCCGGCCAGAGGATGCGGAGCGGCCTCCCTCCCCACTGTACACAATAGCCCAACTGCTGTAATAAAAAAAAAAAAACACAACAAAAAAAAAACCCACTCCAAAGCCTCTTACCCAGAACAGGATGTTGAATCCGAAAATGAAGTATTTGATGCAGCAGCTGACTTCGTGGCCTTTGTAATGGTTCCCCGACATGTTGGAGCATCGTCCGCCTGCGTGTGCGTGAGGAGAAAAACACGGCCTGCTTCACGGGCTTTGTGCTGCGCGGCGGGGAGCAGGGTCATGTCACTCCGAGGCCTCAGGGCCGCGGCGGGGACATGGCGGACGGGCGCTCACCGACACCGCTTCGACGCGCAGCCCGGCCAACATTCAGGCGCCATTAAAATGTTCCAGAAGATCCGCCTCCTGTCCGCGCGAGCTGCGCCTAGATGAGGCGGTGACGCCGCTGGTGGTGCTCAACAGTGATTGGTTGGGAAACTCTGTGATGGACGAATGTGGGAACCAATCATATTAGAGAAAAGCAACTGGCACTTCCGGTATATATACATTGTTTAAAACTGTAATGCTATATCAGGACATGAAACTCTTATTTCTGAACGTTTCTACTGAAAAGTGAGCTACAATAAATGTGCAGCATAGTATAGGTTTCTAACTGAACAATTTGAGTTCCCTGTACTAATATTAAACCAGTAATTATTTTGTGCTTACTAAACGATTGTTTGTACACTGCTGTAGTTATTAACAACGTCCGCCAGAGGCCGCTATAGGGCACTTTCCTCTGGTTTAGGGTTCAGGCATGGACGCAAAACCATCCTCTCCCAAAATAAAGCATGTATTGAACATCTATCTGACGTGTTTTATCAGGCCAGTTATACAAATACAGAACCAGCGTATGGAAAACTAGTTCCCCCATGGCTGCTTCTAAAGAAATCAAGAATAAAAAGAGCAACCAGGGACTGTTAAACAAATTCACTTGAATCATCACAAGTCATTGTGTGCGTCTTTAAAGAAGTTTTTGTTGGTTTGCTGCTTTGGATGCCAAGGATACATTCACCAGTGGAAAATGTTCAGGATAGCTGTCTAACGTCCCATGAACCAAAGCCATAAACCAAAGAGGTATTTCTCAGACTCTATATGCCTTTTTTAGTTGGTTAAAGGTCAAAGTTTATAACAATGCAGTGGGCCAATACATGATCTCATTCGGCTGGTTTAGTATTATTGCTGCTTTATTGTTGTTTATTGTTTTCTCTATTTTTTTTCTTTACAGCACAACTTAGCTTAAGTTGAACAATGGTATATTGACCACAAGAGAGCTATTTGCCATCCTATCTAAGAAATTTTATCATTTGCAGGTATTATATTCACTGAATAAATCAACAATGTCACAGCATCAAGTATAACAAACTAAGTCATAGTCCAAATGGGAGCTGAATATTTGTGAAATGAGACTCACAAATATGGTGGTTTCAATTTATGAACAGATCTGAAACTAGTTCTGACATTTACTGATATCACTGACTTCATTATAGAGAGTCTGTGCCCTAGTTCATGTTTTGTCCCGTTGCGTTCCATCAGAAAGGCCCCCAAAATTCAGTAATAGTACCTGATGGGAACAGGTAAGAGTTGCAGGCCAGTCAGTCCGGTACATGTGGCCTCTCCTCTCCTGTGTTTCCATTCCCCTGCTCAAACTGATGGATGCCTCTGGATAAAATGGGATCTCCAAGGCAGCAAATTTTGCTCTGAAATCTCAGTAAACGTCTGCATTTATGCTGCGATAGAGTTTAAATTCACAGACTGACTTTTGACATTGGTTAATTAATCATTAAGTTTGAAACAAACAGCATACATTTTCACAATATGAACTAAATGCTGATTTGTCCTAATTTCTATTGTCAACAGACCATCCAGATATGAATCCAGATCAGCTTTGGATGTGGACAACATAAGTATGAAGGGGTATTTCTTAAAGCGGACTTAAACAAAACTTTTTCACAGTGATTCCCTGTTGTTGATGTTATCTCAGATGCTGATGACAGAGGTTTTTCTATAATCTGTGTCCAGTTTTAACTTGCATTTTTATTCTTTTACACTCTTTTTTCCTCAAAGACTCATGATAAAAAATGTACACGTTGACATCACTCATTAGAAATAATACCTAACGATATCTCTCTTCCTCCTTTAGGTATGGTTATGGCCCCCTGACCCTCATGAGTAAGCTAAATCCAGGTAAAACTTTGCATAAAACAAATGAGCGCACACACACACACACACACACACACACACACACACACACGCTTTCCCACAGCTGACTTCATGGTTTTAATGGTTTTCAGTGGTCATGGAAACGTTTGGTAGGTTTGTAGATGGCTGTCTGCTCTTTCCTGGATCAACTCGTGGCCATTGTGTGTTTGTTTTTTTTTGCCTTCCGCAGATGCAGTGGCTGGATTTCTTTTTTATCAACTTTTTTGTCTTCTATCCACTTCCCTTTTCCTCTCACTCACCCTCTTTCTCTTATTCTTTCAATCTTTTTATTCTTTATTTCTTTTCTTCCCTTTTATAAGGAAACAATTAGAACACAAATTTCAAACTATGATGAGACATGAAAAACAGGATCTGTGCCTTTGAGTACACAAAGAAAGAACATTTAACATTTTGCTTTCATTACAAGCCCTCAACATTCTAACTTCTTTTGAAATGTTGCAGACCTCAAACAGAATCATATCAACAACAGAAATGGAAGTGCCAGAATTAACAATGTTTTTTTTTAATCACGTAGTTTATTTTTTAGCAGCATTAGTGAACGTATGTATATCTGGAACAAGAAAATGAAAACAAATTCGATTCGATCAAATACGCTCGGCATGTCATTCAAACAGTGCAGAGGAGTTGGGGTCACAGTTAGGCCTGGAGAGGATGCTCCCTATAGAGCACCAGCAGGGGTTCGCTCAGAGAGCCCCGGTCCAGGCAGTACAGGCTCTGAGTGAGGGCCTGGTGCAGAACCAGACTGCCCCTCTCATCCGTGTAGCGCAGCTGGAAGCCCACCCCCTCCAGAGCCCCCCCGCCCACAACGTCCGACACGTCGAACACGTCGTACCCGGACGAGGGCCGCTGGTCCAGGGTCAGCTGCCGCTCCTCCAGGGGGGGGCTCTCCCTCAGCCGGTGGTCCCGGGAGGCCACCACGCTGTGCAGGCTGACCGTCACGCTGAGCGGGCGGGGGTGGAGGGTCTTCCTGAACAGGACCAGCTCCGCGCCCAGCATGGAGGGGTCAAGGCCGCTGACGTTAAACCAGATCCATCCTGGTGGAGCGTACGGGGGACCTGCGTGATCCAAAGAATAAAATACAGAATAGGCTACAAATAAAAACCATTTGAATGGCACACTTAAAGACTTTTAGTTAAGCTAGCTGAGTGTTGACTGTTGGGGTCAATCAGTGCTAAAATATCATAGAATGCCATAGATCTGACCAGCAATAGGGTGGTTACTTTACATATGGACATGCTCACTTTAAAACTGTACTTAGGCTAAGTACACACTTGTTAAACGAGAGGAAGAAGCAGACTTTAACCGATAACTGTGTTAAAGATAGTTAATTGTTTTCAATTCTTACCATCAACACTGCGAAAACTCTGCACCAGTAGTCCATCCGATCTTCCAAAATCCTGAGCCTCCAGGGAGTCCAGGTACTGGTAGATCCTCCTCATGTACGGATGTGGTTTGGCATGATGGCTCGCTGACACTTTATCGATATGAAGCATTTCCAGAATGGCTTTGCTGAGCCCTTTGTGGTCCTCTGCTTCTCTGCGTTGATCCATCAGCAGCAGGCCTGTGGCCGACCAAACCAGGAGGAAGAGCACCAAAAACCCCAAACCCACACCCCGGGCCATTCTGGTCTGAACTGATCCTGATCCCGGCCGGTAGGATGAATATTTTTTACTCTTTTCGGTTCGACCACTGCCGCTGAAAACACCACCTTTTCTGACCGATGTGTTTGTCCGTGCACACACCCCAGGGGCTGTCAGGACTCAGTGCAGCGGTCCAGTTCTGAAGCTGAGGAATGTTCCTTCCCTTTGAGCAGCACTCTGCCGTGCAGGGAGCCGAGGCCCCGCCACTCTGCTCTGAGCAGGCCACCACTGGGCCGGGGCACCGACCGGAAACACTCCTCCGGGGTTTGAGACAAACAGGACAGACTCATGGTATGTGAGAGCCATGTAGAATCCAAGCTGTGATCCAACACTTAAAAGAAAAAACAGAAATAAATCAAACACGTCACATGTCATACTGGAATAATTACAATGCTTGATCTTTCTTTTTAAAACATAGAAACATTAATACATCCTAAATTTGAAAATAAGTTATGAAAACTTAGAAATAATCCACTCATAAGAAGGAAAATTAAAGAAAATGGACCACACTTTTATTTATGTCAATAGCACAAAGAATGGTGGACACAGCCCTTTTTGTCTGATAAAGGACAGGACGGTCTCTCCTGTTTTTGACCAGCTCTGGGGGTGTTTTGGTACGGATGACAGAAGGCCTGCAGAAGTGGGGGGGGGGCATGCCCTGTATCCTGTGTTCTGTGGCATTCCCAGTCAGGAATGGTGGGGGTTCTCCTCATTTTGTCAGAGCATCACCTCCATCCCCCCCCCACTCCTCTGCGGACCACGTCCGGTGCTGGGAGATTTGTGTATCTTGAAAGTATTCTTTTTCGTTTTCTAGGTTCAGTGTGGTGTTTGTTCTCTGTGTTTCCTGGTGCTGGCTATCAGGCCCCCTTTACCCTTTAAAGCCCGATCCAAGAATAAAACAAAACAGAAAATGACTTTTTGTTGGTTTGAAGTCTTTATTTGGCCTTTTAACAAAATATGTAAAAAGAAAAAACAGAAATACATTTTTGATATTAGTAATTTATTACTATGCGATAAGTCAAGATTATTCTTCTGCCCCCTGTTATCAGGTGTATCTGATTGTGTAAAATAGGATTTTGAGCAAAGTTTTTACCTTTAAATTATGCAAAAGGTGTCAGACGCAAAACATTTCAGAAACCGTATGAATCTGATATGATACATTTGGCCTTACAGGGTTAATATGGTTTCTGATGCCTCTTGGATGTATGATGGACACCTGTCTTGCTGTTTGGATCTACCTGCAGCCCACCATCAAGTCCTGCTCCCCAAGGACCCCCCCACACATCCCCCCTGGGACTCTTGGCACACTGACCTGGACCCTGTAAACTCGTCTGGGCTCCCTGGTACCTCCTCTCTCCCTCCAAAGTAAAAAACCCTGTTAT